ATAAAATCCTTTAATCTCTTCTACATTTATCATAATGCTATTGGTCTAATTGCAAGGAATCGGTTTTCTTTACATTGAGTTATAATTCTTACAGAAAGCTGCAGTTTTTTTCTTCATTGGCAAAGATTTCAAGGACACCTGACTTTCAGCAAGCAAAATTGTATCATTTGCATATCGAAGGTTGCTAATAAGCCTTCCTCCAATCCTGACATTCAGTTCTTCTTCATATAGTCCAGCTTCTGGGATTATTTGCTTAGCATACAGATTGTGTATATATGTGAATGGGTAAAACTCTGGTGCACATCTTTTCTGATTTGAAGCTACTCAGTACTATCTTGTTTTGTTCAATTAACTGCCTCCTGAAATATTCATGTACAGGTTCTCAATAGTTACAGTGAACTATTCTGGAATTTCTATTCTTCCAATGTTATCTAAAGTTTGTTATCATCCCCATAGTTGAATGCCTTTGGATAATCGATAAAACAAAAGTAAACAGCTCTGGAACTCTGCTTTGACTCAAGGTCCATCTGACATCAGCTCAAAAACATCGTTGAATGATCTTCAGCAAATGTATGTGCATGGGATATTAATGATATTATTTAATAATTTCCACATTATATTAGACTACTTTTCTTTGGAGTGGGCACAGATAGTCTTTCAAATTTCTTGGCATAGACAAGTGAGTGTTTCTAGTGCTTCATCAGTTCACTGAAACATTTCAGTTAGTATTCCATCCATTACTGGGCCTGGTTTTAGACTAGTGCTTTCAGTCAGCTTGAAATTATTCCTTCAGTACCATTGGTTCTTGATCAAATACTACCTATTGAAATGGTTGAAGTCTGACTAGTTATTTTGATACAGTGACACTATGTAATCCTTCCATCTTATCCTGATGCTTTCTGCATCATTCTATGTCTTGCTCATAGAATTTTTCAGTATTACAATCCAAGGTTTTAATTTTTCTCTTCACTTTTTTCAGTCTGATATGTGCTGAGTCAGTTCTTCCTTTTCGTTTTTTTTTTTAAATTCTAGGTCTTTGCACACTTCATTTTAATACTTTAGTTCTCAAGCAGCCTTTTGAATTTTTCTGTTCAGTTCTTTTACTTCATCATTTTTTGCAGGTTTAAGAGTCTCTTCTGCCATCACTTTAATCTTTTCTTTCTTTTTTATTTTATCAAAGATTTGCTTTCTTCATGTATGGTCTTCTTGATGTCATCCTACAGCTTTTCACGTCTTCTCGCATTAGCATTGAATGCATGAAGACCGGTCTTGAGATGTGCTTTAAATTCAGGTAGGATACACTTAAGGTAGGATTTTGCTTCTTGTGGACTTGTCTTGAGTTTTTTCAATGTCAACCTGAACTTACAGGTGAGCAATAGATGGTATGTTCCACAGTCAACTTCTGGCCTTCTTTTGGCTGGTGATATTGAGCTTCTTTATTGTCTCTTCCCACAGATGTACTCAATTTGATTCCTTTGCATTCCATCTGCTGAGATCCATGTGTATACCTGATATTTTTATTGTTGAATAAAGATATTTGAACTAAAGAGGTTATTTGTTTTGCAAAATTCTATCATGTGATATCAAGCTTCATTTGTATCACCACAACCATATTTTCCAACTACTCATTCTTTTTCTTTCCAACTTTTGCATTCCAATCACCAATAATTATCAATGCATTTTGATAGCATGTTTGATCAATTTCAGACTGAAGAAGTTGGTAGAATTCTTCAGTTTCTGCAACACTAGCTTTAGTGGTTAATGCGTAAATTTGAATAATTAACTGAACTGCCTTATTTCCTAGATTCATTCTTCATACTTTCATTGTTCCTATTACCAATGGTCATTTACAGCTGTTTTTTTTTCCTTCTTTTGACTTGCGCTCCATCTGCAAATGAAGGTCTCAAAAGCTTCTGTCCATCCACGTCATCTTGGTCAATTCTACTTGGAGAAAGCAGCCCTGCCTCATTTGTATGCCCAGGGCCTTCAGCTCAAAAGCAGACAGCCTTTGCACTATATCTGACAATGCTCCACTGCTGTTCCTAAGGTTTTCAGTGGCTGATTCCTTAGAAGTGAAGAGCCTATTCCTTCTTATTGTCTATGCTTAATTTGGAAACTCTGCTGGAAAAATTTCAACTTGGGTGGTCCTGTTTGTATTGGAAATGCTGGTGACATAGTTTCCAGTATCACAGCAACATGCAACCTACTACAGTCTGACAAACTGGCTGATAAGTTTTGTAACGATAGGCAGAAGTTAAGGAATACAACATGTATTCTCTTGGCATAAATCAATCAATATCACTACATTATTTTTAAAGTTAAAAAAATTACTTTTTGCCCCTGAAGAAGCAATGGGAGAATGGGAGATGGAGAGGTATGTATCTATGTGTCTGTGTAAAGCCCAACCATAGGCAAGGTTGTTTGAAATTTTGACTTATAGTGGCTCTATATAGGTTTCCAAGGTTGTAAATCATTATGGGAACAGATATCTTCATCTTTCTCCCTCAAATTGGCTTGTGGGCTTGAACCACTAGGTGTGTAGTTAACAGTGTTTACCTGACAAATCCACCAGGGTTATCTATCTGTTTACCTACCTACCTACCTACTGACCTACCTACCTACCTATCTTCCTACTGATCTACCTATCTATCCCTCACCTATCTTAGAGAATGGTGATATTATTTGAAATAGTCAGCATTTTAGAGGCTGTGGACCATTATTACCAAGTGATACTGGAGTCCAGGGCTGTAAGAGGATTCTGGATGCTGCCAGCACTGCTGGTGTCTAATCTTTCCATCCCTCATTGTGGGTAGGTCCAAAAGTTCTTGAAAAAGGACAGATGTGGTAGTCTTTGAGGTACATTAGGACATCAAAGGGGCTCTAGTGCAGTATATTTCAGAACAGTGGTGGTATTTCAATTTGAATGGAAGTATTTTGATGTTCTACTAAGGAGAATGTTTATAACTGGTACATACCACTGGAATCTCAAGTCTGTGCTAGGAGGAACAGGAGGGGTTATGATTATCTCTCTGGTCCTTATATAACCTCTGGCTCTTTTAGCTTATTATCACATTAACTGTGTTGAGAACCATTATTGTAATTCATTAATATTTTCCTTTATAGTAATAAATAATCACAGTGATGAAATATGCTTGTTCCAGGAAGCATGAAGCTTTCTTAGTTTTGCTCTTAGACTTTCCATCTTGGAGTAATATCAGCTTCTTCAACTGATAAAATGCCAACAAAGATGCTAACCTTCCCTTCTCTCTAAGAGAACTCTCTAGGGAAGATGCACTAATAGGAGTTACTTCTTAATCAAGTATAGTTTATTGACAATGTTTCCTAAGTCAATCCCTAGGAGAGAGCTTCTCAGAGGAGCCCTTGGAGGGAACAGATTAGTGGCTTGTGGACAAGATGACCTCCAAGAAAATCTTTATCTGACCTGTGACCTTGGATGCATGAATTAAAAGCAGCTTAGAAAGAACCACCTCCTGCCATCGAGTCCTGTTAACTGGAAGTAGGGTTTCCAAGGCTATCAGTCCTTATGGGAACAGATAACCTCATCTTCCTGCTGTGAATTTGAACCGCCAAGCTTATAGTCAGAGCCCAACCCTTACCCAGATGTGCCACCAGGGCTCCTCATAAAGACAATTCAAGGTTAGGAAGAGTATCACTTGTCAGAAACACGATTCATCTTAATACAATTTAAATTTAGCCTTTTCCTATCAAATAAAAATAGAAAGGAAACTAGTTGTGATGCAGTTGATTCTGAGTATTGAAATGTCAACGTGGGGATCTCAGGAATGGTTGCATTCACACCACCTAGGAGCAGGTTCGATATGCACATTCTTTGGCTTTTCCAGGACTCCAGAGGTGGATCCCACCATCTGTGCTGTTAAGAAGCCCTCTGGGACTCTGCCTCTTTCTGAAGGTTTTGGAAGCATGGGTGCCTTTGACGTCTCAAACACTTAAAAACAGTATCTCATTTGCTTTTCACCATCCCCCTCTGAGTACCACTAGGACAATGACTTTGAACCGTCTATGTGGACCCTCAGGGAAGTTGAATGCTATGGAGCTGTCAATTTCATATGTTGTATTCATCTGTTGGTACATTGTAGATAAAGGAGTGGAGGTACTGGGGAAGAAGAGTTGGGCTGCTAATTGCTCCACCATAGACAGATCAGGCTGTCTGCACCCCATAAAGATTCACAGCCTACGAAGCCCTATCTAGGGTCACTAGGAGTCTGAATCAACCGGATGGCAGTGAGTGCACCTCCAATGTTACTTTTAGGTGGGAATCCTATAAGCCATGTTCTTTCAAGTCCTCTAGAAAAATTGGTAGATGAATCAGTCCTTCCTGCACTTGTTTCTTATTACTGTGCCCCAAAGGACTTCAAGTCACTACGATAAACTTGGGACCTCTGGAATATACATTTGCAAAATTTTAGAAGACATCGTAAATAGTGAAATATATATCATTACTAAAGCTTTAAAAATAATGTTAAGAACAATTAAAGCACACGAAAAAAATAAAGCTACCCACAATTCTCCTGCCCCTTATTAACATTTATAGTTTATTTTGTATATAAATAATTACATTTTTTCCAAATGGGGAATTGTGCTACATAAGTCTTTTCATAGACTTTTTCTTTATTTCCTATAACTGAACATCTCTCTATATCCAAATATATAATTGTATTATATTAGCTGTATTGTTTATATAGCTTTTATTTTATTTGTGAGCTGCTATTTAACCAATTCCTTTAGTCTTGATATTCAGATTTTCAAACTTTTTCACTTCTACATACAGCAAAAGTATTTGACTTATTTAAATTTTCATAATCAATTTAGGGTCTGGAAAGTAATGAATATTTCTAACAAAAAGATTCAACTTTATATCGCCAGATTCCTCCTGCAGATGTCTCTGTACCTTGACCTGCAATCTGAAGGTCTGGAGAGAAAAGACACCAGGCCTACCTTGATCTTGTTTTCTCCCTCAGCCTGCCAATCACTTGGAACTGGCATGATGCTGAGCTCCTGGGCCACCTCCTCAATTGAAGAAGTGGCAGAGGCTGGTCCCAATGCTCTTCGATGGTTGCAACTCTACATCTACAAGGACCGTGAAGTCACCAAACAACTAGTGCAGCGGGCTGAGCAGATGGGCTATAAGGCCATATTTGTGACAGTGGATACACCTTACCTAGGCAACCGCTTTGACGATGTGCGTAACCGATTCAAGCTGCCTCCACAACTCAGGTAGCTGTAAATGTTTGGTCCCTGGAATCTCTGAGCTGTTTTCTTTCTTTTTGATCTTTTCATGTAACAACTCCAAACGTGTTCTCTAGTTTCCATTTGAGAGGCCTGGGGGAATTAGAATTTCATAAATGTGTTGGTGGCAAAGAATGGCTAAATGAAATATTGTCTAGGAATGATAGGATAAATAATCACAGAGCATCCAATTAATCAGAATTGTTTTTTTTCACTGTTATCCTCCCCCCCCTTTTTCAGGTGCCACCAAAATTGTTCTTACCAACATGTAACTGATAGGTGCCTAATGGCCTTCAGATTGTGAGCAGGGATAAAAATATTAGTTGACATGGATGACATTTTAATGCTGAGATTCCAAAGCCTCTATCACGGATGTGAGAACGTGAAGGGTGGCTTACTTGGACCCTAGACTTCATTTCATATTGACCAATGCTTATTCTCCCCAAAGGAGTAACCCTGTAAAAAAAGTCAAAATATAAATAATTTTAAACCAAATTTGTATTCCATGTAAGGACAGGAAGATTTTCAGATGCTAGAAATTTCATATAAATGAGTAAGGTATATCTCAACCAACATATATGTCCACATACAAATATATAAGCCTCATAAATCTGACACGTAGCTCTACTGTATATGTCCACATAAGCAGAAAATGATTTTGAATTAACTCTTGCTATTGAACCAGGTGTAAGTTAGCTGGGTTATGTCACCACTGTTATACTTGTAATCCCAATGACAGAAACCAAATGGGTTCTCCCTGCAGAGCCATCAGCAAACCTAGTCCACAGATTCTTCCATGCACTGGGCTGGCTAGCCCCCTGTCTTTCTATGAGAAAACAAAAGAAAACCAAAATTCTATGGCATATTTCTACATTTTGCCAAATTCCTCAGGGAGCAGGTGACTTCAAAATCCCCCAATATGAAATCTATAGTTACCTCAGTCCTTCTTATTTTGATTATGATTTTTCCCCTCCCAAATAACTAATTTCCTGCTCTCCAGGCTTCTAATCGTAAGCATCCCCCATAGTCCCCCTTGGACATTTGAAAAGGAATTTCCTATTACTTTTTCTTCTCCTTTCCCTCCTCCTCCTAAATAATCCACTTTCTTTTTTTTTCAGTTTAAACTTTTTTTTTCTTGTTCTGATTAACAAAGCATGTTTCGTAGGTTTATCTACCTGGATGATGGGAATGACATAGTCGCTAATACTGACTTGTGATTCTTGCTGCTTCGGTGGTGGGGCTACTCCAGGAGGAGCCAGAAGGTTGACTTGCTTTTCCTCTTTTACTTTGCTCTTGGGCTTTTGCCCTGCTGACGTGGAGGAGCATGAGACAAAGGCCCCTTTCAGCCGCTGTTGTACGCAGAAGAAGCTGTGGCTCCCGGGCTTGTCGCCTCTCCCATCTGAAGATGATCAAATAATGAGCAACACATCCAGGTGATGGGGAACGCAGGAAATACCCCATAGCCTGGGTCACCCCGGCTACCCAGAGTGTACACTGCCCTTGTTTGTCCTGCTGGACTTCAGGGCGGGTCCGCACCTTCTGGTCACCCCTCCGTAGCCCACATCCAGCTCTCCAAGGCAGGCAGCACTCACAAAGGGGAGGCCCAGGCTTCCGCTCGAGGTAACATCCACCTCCCAAATGAATCTTTTACCTCTGATATGAGATCAGGTCTCTTTCTGCAACTGACCTGACTGCGAGAAGGTGAAGCCTGGCTTTTCAAAAGCTGGGTTTGGCAGGCGCAAGAGGCAGGAAATCCAGAGGAGAATGAGTCTGCAAAGCAGCGGCTCCTTCCAGCCCTTGCTGCCTCCCTGCCTCGGTGGGGGTAGGCTCTCCATTCTTGGCATCTAAGGACAGCGAGAGTCCAGGGTTGGCTCTTCCGTGCAGACCTGTACACAAATTACATGTGCGTGTGTGCGTTACAACTGGCCTGGAGATTCCCGAGACACGAGGGGACAGTCAAGGGAAATTCTCTGCTCTCACTGGCCAACAGAATGATTCCTGCGGTTTGTCTTGCCCCTGTCCCATGGGGGTGGCTCATTTATGCCAGGTTGAGATTGGGCTCCTGAGTGCAGTGGTGGGAGGAGTGTCACTTTCTGTCATTGACTATAATTACCGGAAACCATGACACCTACTCTCTGCAGTTTTCCCAAAGGCATTTCTTCAGCCCTGAGCTGATTTGTTAATCCCAGCAGCCGGTATAGATGACATTATGCAGTCAAATCAAGATTGTCCTCCACTCCAGGCTCCCACTAGCTTCCCAGACAGCCTCATGATGTAAGTGACTAGCCAGGCTTCCTGAACAGGCTCATGAGTTCTCACAGCATTTCGCCAAGCACTGCCTCCCTCACCCTTCCCCAGTCACACTGGCCTCTCGGATGCTCCTTCCAGGTACCAGGAATGCTCAAGTCTTAGAAAGTCTTGGGGCCTTCCAAGTGGCTGTTCCTTCTGCCTATAAAGTATTGCTCCAAGTCTTGACATTAGAGATGAAGCTACATGTCTCTATATCAGAAAACCAAACTATAATTAAAGAATACATACACAGTTGGAGAACAAAAGAAAGTAGCAAGGGAAGGGAGAGGGAGAGATTGAAAGAATATGAGAAGGAGCAGGGGGAAAGAGAGAGAGATTGGTGAAGGTAGACTCTGTACAGGACCTACTAGCCGCTGCATTTTTGTTGTTGTTATTTTTGTTAGGAAAACTGTGCCAGGCAGAATAAAGTCCTCTCAAAGATGTTCAAGTTCAAATTCATGTAATTTTTGAGTATGTTGCCTTACATAAGAGAAATAAACTGTGAAGGTTTATTTAAATCAGAGGTCTTGAAATCCAGGAATAGTCCTGGATTATCTGGGTGGATTTACTATAGTCAGATGGTCCCTGTGTGATGAGGTGTCATCAGTGAAGGACTACAGGTTACCTCTAGAAGCTTGAAAAGGCAAGGAACAGATTGGCCCCTAGCTCCATAGGGGAAACACTCAAACCTAAAACCAAACCCACTGGCACCGAGTCGATGCCAACTTACAGTGACCCTATAGGACTGGGTAGAACTGACCATGTGAGTTTCTGAGATTTAGACTCTTTATAGGAGTAGAAAGCTTCATCTTTAGCCTGAGGAGTAACTGGGGGCTTTGAACTGCTGACCTTGTGGTTAGAAACCCCAAGTTTGAATTTTATCCAGAGAGACCCATGTCCAGATGTCTGGTCTCCAGGGCTTAGCTGAGAATATGTTTGTATTGCTTTAAGCTACTACATTTGTGGAAATCTTTTCCCCTACAGCAGTGGGAGACTTGTGATGGCACTGATCTGGTAACTTCCTCACTGTAGCTTCCCAATGAGGCGAATACTGATGGCCGTATTTGACCATGGAAAAAGAGCCAGAGCTAGCTCCCCACACAGCCGATTCTTTAACACAAAGCTGGTAGTTCATGTTGCAGAGTGCCTGGATTGAGAAGAAGGTTTCAGCACTCGGTTGGAAGAAAGGTTTTTGATCTTCAAGAAATTAGTCATTGAAAACCCTCTGGAACATTGGGGCTCATCTTAAGTCAGAACTGGCTTGATGGCAACTGGTTAGCTCACATGCCAATTGCGATATAGTGTATGAATAGCTACCCATCTTCTCTCAGGCTCTTTCTGCCATGATATCCTGAGATCTACAATTTTGTTTGCACCATAGACAGATGTGTTTTATCTGTGAAGTCATATTATCTCTACCTATAATAAAATATTCCCAATAGGACTCGTTGTTAGTAATGTTAAACTGAAAAAACCAACCCATGTCTTTGAGTCAATTCTGACTCACAGTGACCCTACAAAAGAGATAGAAGTGCTTCAGAGCATTTCCAAGGCTGTAAGTCTGCGTAGACGCAGACCGGCTCATCTTTCTCTCAACCTGGTGCCTGCTGGCTTTGAACCACCATCAACCTCGCGATGAGCAGTCCAATCCACCCTCTGTGCCCGCAGGGATTCCTATTTTTGGTTGGTTTGTTTGAGATGAGCTTGTTTGTCACTAAGCACTGCAAGTCCATTTCAATTTTACTTTTCCTCTTTTTTTTTTAAGCCACTCAAAACACTATTTAGGCATGAGGGGTATGAAATCTGGAGGGATATTTTTGTTTTGTTTTGTTTTTTTAAGGAAACATACTAGATGTATTTACACAGCCCATCTAAAGAAAGGATGTCAATAACAATATACTACTAAACCCTCCATAAATGTGTTTTTTCTTCCTCCCTCCCCCATCCCTCTTTTTTTTAATTTAGTAACATTAAGGGCTCTTTGTTCTTAATATTACTCTAAGACATTTTATGATGTTTAAATTTCTTGGTAGTTACTAAGTTAATCTAGCCTCATAAAACTATGGCAACTACCAAAGAAAGTTGATTACCAAATAAGGAGCCATCATGGGGGCTCAGTAGTACTACAAGGTCAATAGTTTGAAACCACCGGCAGCTCCAAGAAAGATGAGGCTTTCTAAACCTATGAAGAGTTCTTATCGGGAACCTGCAGAGGCAGTTTTATCTCATCCTTTAGGGTCACTGGGAGTCAGTATTGACTTGGTGGTGGCAGCAAGTTTGGCTTGAAACTTACTAAGGAACCTTGGTGGCACTGTGGGCTAGGTGTTGGGCGGCTGACGGTAAGATCAGCTGTTCAAACCACCAGCCATCATGTTGGGAGCATGTGACGACTGGCTGCTCCTGTACAGATTTCTAATCTCAGAAACATTTGGGTTTCTGAGTTAAAATCAACTGTAGGACAGCGGGTTTGGTTTAGTTTTTAGAACTTAGAAACAATTTGTATATCAGATTAAAAATACATTTAACAGCCATTCACTGTACGATGAATACTTCACAAAGATCGAATTCTTCCTTTGCCTTTAGGTTATTGAGGAAATCAGGGTTCGGAGAATCAAGTCCCATGTAATTGTGTTATAATTTTGGTGTTTCCCCTTTCCTTCTTTACGGAGCGGAATATTCCGGTTATCAGAAGCGGGTTTAGTGTGTGTGTGTTTTATGTATGTGTCATAACTGAATAAAAATGGCATTCCCGGGGGTTTCTTTCAGAGTCACTGTAGAACACTTCATCGTGGGTCTCTGTCAAGATCTCTGAAGACTTTTTCTTGGCTCCTGGCTTTGAACAAAGTTTTAGAGTAATAACAAGGCTTCATTGTGCCCTGAAATTTCTGTAAGGCAACATTCATTCAAGTGTTGATCTGCTTTTCCCCATCCAAGAATAACAACAGTTATTTATATAATTTTATCCATGTTTCTGTTTTTTCCTATCCATTTCACCCTTTCACCCTGCCCCTGCTGAAACACTGTAGCTTGTTCGGGATGGGGGGGAGGAGGTGCTGTGCAGAGTATATACACATACAGATATTTTCCTTTTTTTCCCCCCTGGTCTTGGCATGGATTAGACAGACTGAGCCTATTTTCTAACTAACAATATTATTTAAATGTTTGGAATGTACTGGTCACTTAGTATCATTTTGATGATGAAGGCTCAGAAATAGAGCTAGGTTTATTGACTCGAATGTTAGCTGAATTCAATTCAAGTCAGGGTGACCACAGGAGACAAAGGTCTGTGATAAAATGTATACCCTAAGTGGCTTGAGAAAACGATAAGTCCAAGCATTTCAGGTCAAATCACTACCCGAGCCTGATGATTCTGGGTAGAATTGGGATTTTCTACGATCTTCAGTAGCCATCTGAGTCCATGGAATTGTTCAATGCCTATTGAGAAAACTATGCCAATGGCATGAATAGAGTTATGTCGACTAGGAACACGCTTGTACTTGTGACAGTATGGAATATTATGATATCTGTAAAGCTCCCAATAAGTTGATTAAAAATTAAAATAAAACAAAGTATACAGACAGTTTAACTTAAAGTCCCTACAATGTAAAAAAAGAAATCAAACAGTGTTTTATTTTAAAAGAAATATTATCATGATGAGCCTATATACTTACGTTGAGATGAAAATTTGTTAGTCAACGCCACATATTTTCTATGTTTAGTGTCAGAGCTGGGGAGTATGACGACTAAGACAAAGATCAGCAAAGTACATCGGTAGTCTTGCATAAGAAGCAGATTGAGTAGTAAAGCAATTTATAATATTTAGAAGCGTGAGGTGACTCTAGGGCATTGTCATTATTGAAAGGCAGTCCTTTAGAGAAATGAAGGTACAGCCGGCTCCGGGGGTTGTAAGCAGTTCTAGCATATTGGTAGTACTGGTGTGCTGGTATGATTCCAGAGGAACTTCCACTAAGTAGAGAGGTCAGAGGTGGAGGCAGAATAATGTTGGTCCTAGTTTGGCGAGCAACCAAGAATTAGTCAGGATATCAAGATATTACAGCAAGAGAAAAACGTCATGCACAAGATGAGCTACTTCAGGTCTGAGATGGTGTGTTAGTCTGGGTTGACTAGAGAAACAAATCCATAAAGACACATATGTGTGTAAGAAAACACTTTACACAATTGATCTATGTATTGTGATGAATTGTATGAGCCCCAATAAATTGATTTAAAAAAAAAGAGTAATTATACATTAAGAAAACATCCCAGCTCAATCCAGATCAAGTCCATAAGTCCGATATTAGCCCATATGTCAGATACCAATCTATAAAGTACTCTTCAGACTCCTGAAACACATGCAATGACACTGAATACAGGAAGATCACAGACCAGTGTGTGGGAAGCCTTGTGGATCCAGTGGTGTAAGCATCTCAGCGCTGGCAGGTGTCTCCATGTGACTCCTGCAGCTCAGGGGATTAGTGTAGTTCCATGTGTCTTGTCAACTGCAATGTCTCCCAGGGAGTGAGCAGAGAGAGTGTGTCTCTTGCCTCCAAGGACGAATACCAGCGTCCTCAGAATCCTCAGGAGAGACCCTGCCCACACATAGGTCTCATTGGCTATGAACTGATTGAGAGGCTAGATTCTACCCCTTCCTTCTTAATCCTCTCAAACTGACAAAAGATTATACATCTACTACTGATGGGTTAACACAATTCTATATTGAGCAGGTCAGCAACTCAGTGGGGTTGTGTCTTAGTTTGAGTTCCTCTTGAAGCAGTGATTTAAGTGTAAACAATTCATTTGGGGTAATGCAGAGAATACGTGTGGCAGATTTGGAAGTGGAAGACAGCAAACAAAGGGTATACTATTACAGCTAAAACTATGCACAATTGAAGCTTAATCCTTCTGGGAAATTCTGGGAGCTCATGCAGAATCCATGCCTCATCTACCCAGGAGGTAAGGAAGCTGGAGTATTTACACACCAACATCCCTAATCCTTCCAGTCAGGTGTGTGGTTAGTCAATTAACCTCCAGGAGTACGAAAAAGCCACAAGCAGATAAATGAAGGTGTTGATAGTTGGAAAAGTTATGCACTGAATAGGATTGTCCCAAAGCTTGAAACAGCCATTGAGAGGCCTCAGAGGGAACAACTTGGAGGAGGGAAAAGCAAGAGATCATCTCCTAGAAAGACCTTTCCGTTTTCCCACACGCCCACCAAGACCACTGGCACCACAACAGCGCAGGCCAGGCAACATAATCTAGAGGGTAACAGACCGAAGCTGTGAGCACGTGCCACTGCGGTTCCAAGCTCCTCTCACAATTTCCACAGAGACACTTCAGTCTTCCTGAAATCAGCTTCAATCTCCAGAATGCAATTGGGCTCTAAGCAAAGACAATGAGCTGAGGACTCAGGAGACTGGCTAGGGCCTGCATGTCACCAAATGCTTTTTCCGTTCCTGGGACTGTCTCCGTCTGCGCTTCTGTTTGCTGTCCTTCTTAATGTAAAATGTCCAATGTAAAATTGGAAGTATGATGTATCTATCTACCCCAAATTAAAAAAGTGAAATCCAATGTGATCATATTGGTAAACGACCAGGACCCATTACTGTACCGTTGCTTGTGACCTCTAATGACCTTAAAGGACAGAGTAGAGCTGCCCCACCGAGTTTCTTTGGCTGTACATCTTGATGGACAGAAGCAAAGTGCCACATTGTTTTTCACTCGGAAGCAGCTGATGGGTTTGAACGACCATCTTGCAGCCTTTTTTTGGTATACAAACCCACTTTGTATATCACACTTCACCACACAAACTTTGACCCTTATGATTAATCTGTAAAGCTGCCTTACAATGGCATCAATTCAACCATCTACTTCTATAAACTGGTTTAAAATGGAAATGCTATTTGGACTTCGCCACATATTTTTCGTTTAAGCTTATTTGTTCACATAATCAGAGCCTGAGGTGAGTCAGAACTGACCAGATGGCGCCCACGACGACGACAATAAGATGTTCCGTAAACTTTAGGTAACCGATACAGACAAATAGATTGTCACATTTAGCCTGGATTTCCACATCAATGAATGGAAAATATACATGCAACCAACTTGTAGGTGATTGAGGATAAACAGCCAATTGATTTGAAAGAGGCAACTTTTCTTTCTTATTTTTACATTGAAAAGACGTGTTAAGAGAAATCGAACTTTCTCCTAAAGAAATTTTTTTGATCTATGTATTTATTGCAGGATGAAAAATTTTGAGACCAATGATTTAGCTTTTAGTCCCAAGGAAAACTTCGGAGACAACAGTGGACTTGCTGCCTATGTGGCTAAAGCAATAGACCCATCTATCAGTTGGGAGGATATCAAATGGTTGAGAGGACTGACATCGCTACCAATTGTTGCAAAAGGCATTCTGAGAGGTTTGTTTATTTTTTTCCTTGTATCTGTGTTGATTTTATCATCCTATGTGGTCATGCTATATTTAAGGGAAGTTAATTAATCAGAATAAAATTACATGGAAATTAAAAGAAATATTCAATCTTTTGACACATTGTCAGAAATTCACTCATTCTTTAACTCACGGAATGTGTACCCCTTGGGATATCCTTCAGCAATTTGGTCTTCAACTTCCTCAGCTGTCCAATGATACAATTAGGCTGTGGTCTCCAAAGCTTCCATAAATAGATGCAGGTTTGAGAGAGAGAGAGAGAGAGAGAGAGAGAGAGGTAGTCTAGCTCTCAATTCTTTCTTTTGGTATTAGTGAGCATGTATTTCCCCTTCTTGGTGGTGTAGTGGTTATTCATTGGGCTATGACCCTCAAGGATGGTAGCTCGAAATCACCAGCTTCTCCCCGGGGAGAAAGACAGGGCTTTCTACTACTATTAAGAGTTAGAGGCTTGGAAACTCATAGGGGCAGTTCTACTCTGTCCTGTAGGGTCCCTATGAGTCGGCATCAACTCGATGGCAGTGAGTTTTTAAGTCTAAAGTAATGAGGCAGTTTGAAATACATTCGTTGGCAATGGGTTTTGTTTTTGTTTTTAAGCTAGATTTTGTGAAATAGGAAGTTATTTTTGTTGAAGCAGGTTTTATAAAGAATTCCATTGTCGGATGACAAAGTTGTCATTAAATTAGGGAACTTGATAAAATATCGTGGATTCATTGTGGTAGCCAAAAACTTTGCTCTCAGACTAAAGAAACATCCTAAATATGAGTATGATGGTATAATATCCAAACATTTCGTAGAGCTCTCTGGCTTTTTTGCTTAACTTTTTTGCTCCTTAGAACAAATGGCCAGGACAAACATTAAGTGTTGTGAATTTCCAGTGAGTTCTCTGTAGAGAATAGTTGGCTAGGGCATAATCATTCACAGATATCAAGCCTTTGTTATCAAGCACCTTTCCAGCTTCTCCAGCATCTGTGTGTATACATAGTTAAATCCCACAGGGAGGAACCATTGACTTAATCATTTTGGAGTGTAAATGTGTTGATCCACCAAAATGTTTTCTTGCCTTTAAAAAAAATTTAAGTGCAGTTATATAACTGCCAAACAACACACGTATATATGAGTACATGAGCTCTCTCTCTCTCTCTCTCACTTGTTTATTTTAACGAAATATTTTAACTGAAATGTTGGAGTAAGTGGTGCTGCAATGAGAGAGTCTACTAACTTCTCTCTGGGCTAGCAGGACTGAGAACCAATATGCTCCTAGGATGTATTGGAATCTGATTGCTAAATATACTCTCTATTTATAAAACGCTGATGTCACCAACTTTAACAATTCAATCTTCATCGATGCAGAAATGAAACTCATGAATATTAACTAATGGACGGAATGATTTGGGTGATATATAACTTTCAAGCAGTGGGCATATGTTGAACATGTATCATTATACTGTTGTCTGTTGATCATTATTGTCATTCAAACTTTCTGTGCTTCAATAACATTAACCTGGTACTGAAGGCACCTTTAAATAGTAGTTTCACTCACATAATTTGCATCCATGTTGTTATCCATGAATGTTAGTGCTATTTCCTATGGTCATACTCAATTATATTAACTTGAGGTAATGCCACATTCATTCATTTACTCTTTCATTAATCCACTCACTTATTCACCCCCTCAATCACTCATTCCATAAACATATATAATACTCTCTGTGTGCTAAATTACGAGGAATAAATACATAAATTCAGATCTCTGACTGAGGAGAGTCTTATAAGTAGAGCCCCCCCC